ATATTCAGTGAAGAGAACACACATCATTAATTAGCGACCAAGATACGCCCTGACTGACATTAATTACGACATTTTTACGAATTCCAACTTCACTTTCCTTGTAAATTCGTTGTGCTCACGTCCAACGAAAACTACGTGTTCCTCTATAATTAAACAATATCCTCCATACTCTCGACAGTCACTTCTTACATCCACCCCTTTATCTCGTTTCTCTCAAATCTTTTCTCCTTGAATTCTCTTTTCAATCCGAGCTATTCAAGAGGAACTGAATATCTGCCACGTGAGTGCTATTCATTCGGAGGAGAGACTCTTGCGTAAATCCTCAGCGCAGAAATGTACACTGTGTACTGTTGAATTGGACTACTATATGTGTCTTCGAGTGAGATACCACTACACATCGAACAGCGCTTAATTTATAATCCTATATGGACCCATTTGATACAAATCGAACGTTTTACAAATATTTACAAATCAATTAAAATTAAAATTGAGAGGTTTAATTATAAATACTTATTCACGTTCGTAGTAGTTGATACCATAGTTAAAATGTTATAAAATTAACAGTTCCTGAAAAGTCACTTCTGCCAAGGAATTATAATTTGAAACTAATGAATAAAAGAATTATCCAATACTATATGTAATAAATAAGAATTGCCTGCTGATGAAGCTTGATTAATGAGTGTGATTAATATGCAGTATTGAACCGACAATTGTGGAGAGATTAGAGACGAATGTGTTTCAGGTTTCGTTACAAACGCAATCGATTCTCTCTATTTATATGTTTTATTCGCGCCATTGTAGGTTTTCGAACTGTTTCCAGCGCTGTAAGGATATTGAGACGCACAGGAATGGAAAGTTCAGAGTCCTCCCTCGTAAGGGTGTCTCCGCCAGTTCGAGTTACGGTTGAATGGCCTTGACGAGGAGGCATCACAACTCATTAGATAAAACGGATACTTTACCCTCGTTTCGATGCACGTGTTGTGGCGACCCATCGAGCATTCTTTCATCGTCCAAAACGCTCTAAGAACAGTGGTTCTTCACCCGAGGTACAAGGACGACCCCAAGGGGATTCGTGGATACACTTCTTGTAGTTCTTGAATTTACATAGGGAGATATAAAATATTTATTTTTGCTGCGTATATTACATCTAAAATTAGCCAGATTAGGTGTAAAAATTTGTATTTTGTCACCGTGATAAATATCATTTCGTAAACTCAACAATCAAGAGTTTTAAATGATTCCGTGCCTTCGTAATCAATCATTTATAACTCTGGTTGAAGTAGGAATATTTAATCGTCATTTTGTCGACATGATCTCCATTACAATAAGTCTATACTTATGTTTTTTTATCGAGTCCTTACAAGCTTCCTTTGCTAAACTGTTGATATGAAAACATCTCTGCAAACTTTCGAATGTTGGGAATAATGGTATTCTTTCAAGATAAAATTCTTTACGAAATGAAATTTTCGAACATCTGGGAACACTATTGAATTACTTTAATAAACAACACTCGCTGAAAAAGATTAACTAATGATCAAATAACTCCTGGGAAGTAAACGTTAAGAGCCACTGGTAGAATCTAGGGACCTTCTCATCCGTCTTCCTCTTCTTCGACATTCAGTTCTTAGTAATAGTCGCACGCCCCACGGAGTCGTTCAAGCATTCAGTCGTGTGTCTCAGAGTAATTTATCTGAAGTAATGTCTACAGTTTCGGTCCCGTAGGGTCGTGGACTAGTTTGTAATTTATTCGGCGACGATATCCTACGTGTCAATTTTGGAACAAATGAATTTTCAAAGGAAAGCTACGACGAAGGTACACCCAGCGAGGAAAAGGAAGTGGACATCAGTAAACTTCGCGTATTTATACCTAGTTAACGAAGTTTCAGTACTAAAAGTAAAGTTGTAAAGTACTTTTCGACGTGATGATCCTAAGAAAGGCACAAATACTTGTTACTTCGTATTCCAGTGATTAATAAATGTATGGAGTAGAACAAGATCCCTGAAACAATTTGGTTCTATTAAACGAGAGTTTTAGTTGAAGAGAAACATGGATAATAATTCTTTGGAAAGATTGTATTTTGTTACTATTTGTTATTAAGACAAACATCAACTGGTGCTCAGAATCAATGTATACAGGACGAGGAAGAACAATCAATAACTGGTAATTAAAATGTACCTTTGGTCTAGATCAAACTTTCTTTTGTAAAAACAAGTTATTGATGTAATCTAATAAATAATTTCGATTGCTATTATTCTATCGCTTGAATCTATCTACTCATGACGTCATTATACCTTCATCAGTCATAAATCTGGTTTTTATTCAGTTTTCGTATACATCTTTTTCTCTGTGTACTCTTTCCATTCTTGATGCAAGCAGAATCAGTTCCACGCAAGGTTTAACTCTACTCTAAGCTCGAGTCAATTACAAGTAGTTAGCTCCCGGTTACGAATCATTTCACTTGTAATGTAGATCCGTAAAAAAGAAATGCCGCCATAACGAGGTCAAGTATTTACGAATCATTTGACGGCGACGCAGCTTCAAGGGAACGCCCGCTATAACGAGGACAAGTATTTACCCTCGAGAACATTGAAACAATGGATCTCATCTCTCTATCTTTTATTCGCGTGGCTTCATTGTCTATGTTTGTTGCGAGCTGTTCTAATAATCTTAGAACGATTCACATTGACTTGTAAAATTTGTTGACATCAATACAAACTTCATCAATGGGAATATGAAACGGGAATTATTTCTAGAACATCTGTGTCGTATGTTACAGAGTCTTGCATTGAAAATAGAAATTATTTTACAAATTAAGCAAACAATAAGTTAAGACAGAATCTCTGTGATAAAATAAGTCATCTTCGGGAGTACGTCTTTTGAACTAAATTTAAATTTAGCATAAATACAGCATTTAACGACAAAATGAGAATAAAATTATTCTTTGCTCCGTATGTATAATTTACAATACTGTTAGAAATGAAAGTTACTGGAAAATAGGTTACGATTAACTTAATTCAATGTAGTTCCTATTATAAAAACATTTTGGAAGAATTGAATTTTTATTGGATGTTAAATATTGCGTTGCGATAGATCTTAACGAAAGTATCGAGATGGCGTAAGTTATGATCGTGATGTGTGTTCTTCATGTAAACTGTGTTGACTAAACTGTCTAAAGTTTCCATGGAGTTCAATATTGTTGCAAAGTTTAGTTGGGTTCTGATATATAGGCTGCAGGGTACCTGTTCCTCATCTAGTCAAATTCAGAATGTTAGCACGCTTAAAAATGTTTATGCTACAACATACGTATTCTGACACAATAATTTTGAAAGCAACCATCTCGTAGAAATCGTTTTGTGCCATATCACAGCAATGTAAAAGTTTATTAATCGCGATATTTAGCATATTTAATTTGAATTGTAAAAAATGTTTAACATTTTTTCATTTCATAGATGCATTTCCCGTAATTAATAAGTTGCTCCGAAACGGAGTATCGCAAAAAGTTCCAGAGCTTTTGACCTGCACAATTGTTATTTATTACGAAACTGACATAATGAAAGAAATTAAAAGTTGACAAAAATATAAAAAGTCACGTACAAAGTATTTGAATTATATACATTTATTTTGTCCTACTATATACTTTTCATATATCACGACAATTCGTATTATAATCAAGTTTAATTAGTTTATAATCGTACTCAAATGGGTTATTAGTGACTCAGTAAAGCCTACGGATTGTTCGTTACAAATTCTGGAAAAGATTGATACCTTTAGAAAATATTAAAACCTGTAATACCTACTTTAGAATGCTCAAAGTTGTTTGTTCTCTAGGAAAAGACGATTTCACGTTTACTTTCAATTCATGAAAATTCCACAAGCGACAGGAGTCACCTTTGTTTAATTTATAAATGAATAATGTTGTGTATATGCTCGAGGAGTATAGGCGAAACGAGAATGCGAGACTGGAAAGTACTTTTAACTCGTGGAAGTTACGATCGATTTGGTAAATTATTTAAAAACGAGTCACCCTCTTTAAGGTACAGGCCGTCGTTTCTTCCCTGCCTGCGACGGGGATGTGCAAGCGGGAAATGGATGTGGTTCCATTCATGCTTATTTCAAGCTCATTGTGCGTCGAGTGCATTCAGCCTTTGACTTGCTTCTCGTGTTGCCACTGCAGCAATGTTTCATGGAGAGCAAGAGACGTGCATGTCGCTAGCTAAAATCAGGAAATACTAGTGTCACATTTTCTTTGATACTAACGAACATTACTGTAGCACCAGTGGCCTTATCATTCATTATTTTCCTTATCATCTGCTATCCCACCTTATGGTACGACGCGCCGTTCCCATCACGCCGTTTACAACGTAACCGTGTCGATTGTTAAATTAACTAAAAGGATCTACTTTCTTACATAAACTACCTGAAGGAATATCGTAAGATATCAAATAAGTTCCTTGATGTCAATACTGATATCAATGAAATAGTTAATGAATTTAAGTACATTCTGAATATTAAAAGAATGTATTCTTAGACTAGTTTATTTTTAGTTTGAAGCAAGATATTACTTGTTATACGTATGTTTCGATTTTTTGTATTAGAATCATTGTCAGGATCCACAAATGCTACCATCGAATTTTCTAAATTAATACGTGCATAGATACAAAAGCTTTGTCAAGTAAAAAAGAATATAATTGAATACAGAAACATACTTGTAGAATTTAAGAAGTATGACGATATCCCTATGTAAACTGCATTTGGTTAATTATTAAGTTAAAAAGGTATGAAAACATATGAGTATAAAATCTTATAAATTGGAATTAAATATTATGAATATACTACCATAATATATTAAATAATATATACAATTCGTGGATGTAAAAATATTGGCATCTGTTTTTTTTTTTATTTCATTTATTGTTTGAATAAAATTGTAAAACTTATTTATGCAGAAACGTAGACCGAGAAAATATGAACGAAAAATGATATTAAATCTCGTTTATAGGAAACGGGAGAGACACCGAGAGCGAATATGTCGCATGTACAATCAGATTTTAACGGAATGCACCCAGTTTAATGGGACATGGCCTGACCCGGATGATCCACGCTGGAGTAGCGGAGAATATGTAGAACTCACAACAGGCCTGTTTCCGACAAACAACATCAACTGTTGCTCGATAACAGGGAATACGACGGCTTTATCAACTGGTAATATTGAATTTTTCTGAACAGTATGATTAATATAATTAAATATAATTAAACAACTGCATAGTAAGAAAATTACTTTTCATCGTCAGAAGATTGTCCTAAAATATCTCACTAAGCAATTTCAATTATTCGATTGGACAAATTATATTTTGTACGTTAAACAAAATTATACTACATATATTACTCAATATGATAGATTAAAAAAATATGGTCAATTCAAAAAATAGAGAACGTTTCGTATCGAGTGCTCGGACTACTTTTTCAAGAAATTTTGATTGCTATCGATTGGTTCTACTCATTACAGGCTGCCATCTGGTTTCCCGTTTCTCGCGTTTCACGACGTAAAATCGATTTCTGTACGTTATTAGCAGGACATCATTAGTAGACTCTATTAATAATTTTAGAAATTGTTAATACAAGACAAGATGTAGAGAGATTGTATATTGGGAAACGATGAAGTACATGACTTTCGATGAAATGTAAAAATAAAGTAGCAGGTTATGGCATTTACTGATATGATACATATATGTTCAACAGAAGAAACTTTCACGCCCGTTCTACCACCCTTCGAACTCTGGCAGTCGATACTGATTGCTTTCTCCATCGGAATATGTATACTGTTAACTGTCGGCGGTAACATTCTCGTTCTTCTGGCATTTATCGTAGATAGAGCTATCAGGCAGCCGAGTAACTATTTCATCGCTTCATTAGCAGCCACTGATATGCTTATCGGTAAGTCTCTTCACTTTTTCAATTCGAGAAACGACCTTTTTTTCAAGCGATGTTGAATTAGTTCAAATACACGAATTAATATTAAAAATATTGCCAAGGGGAAATATTAATATTTATTGAAATTCCAAAGCAGTTTGAATACATTACATTAATGAAATTGTACTTTATATAGAACAATCACAATAATTGATACTAACAAAAATGAAATTTATCTTTACATTGACAAAAACAATCATGAATTTATAGTAATTAAAAGTAGCACATTCAAATATCAATACATCCTAATATTCCTATTTTCAGCTCATTTTAATTGTCGTTTACAATAGAGTATATTCTATTCATTCATATCAGATATTATAATTTCCAGGTAAACCAGAATTAAGCATGATAAAATTGTTGAACAGGTACCGTGTCCATGCCATTCTTCACAGTGTACGTGCTGATGGGATACTGGAACCTCGGACCCCTGCTCTGCGATCTATGGTTGTCAGTAGACTACACCGTGTGCCTGGTATCGCAATACACCGTCTTATTGATCACTATCGATCGATTCTGTTCTGTAAAGATAGCGGCGAAATACCGTTGCTGGCGAACTAAGAACCGCGTGATCTCGATGGTCACGATCACATGGATTATTCCTGCTCTGCTCTTCTTCCCCAGCATATTCGGTTGGCAATACTTTATCGGTTACAGAGACCTAAGTCCTGGCCAGTGCGCCGTGCAATTCCTCAAGGATCCCGTCTTCAACACCGCCCTGATAATCGGTTACTACTGGACGACGCTCGTGGTTTTGTTTATCCTTTATGGCTGCATATACAAGACAGCTTACGACATGCAGAAGAAGAGCGAGGCCAAACAGCGTAAAATGCAATCGATGGTTGCACTCAGCGCAGGAGCGATGTCCGGAATGGCGGCCGGGATAGGAATATCGAAGACCCAGAGCACTCTTTTAAGCCAGGACAAACAGAAAGTGGGTACATCGGAAGAGGATGCTGCAGAAGCCGATTGCTCCGGTCAGAAGACCTCCTCGAAGACGTCAGCAACTGGGCCGACAGATTCAGCAGAGAAGCAAACGTGTGCCAGCACTTTGCCTCCTGAAACTGAAAAGTCCGAACGTTCCAGCAGCCCAGCGTTCGATTCTGACGAGGAAAGCACCTTTGTACCGGGCCAACACCTCAGCAGCGTCAAGAAACGATCGTCCTTGGCTGACATGGTCGCTCAATCCGGCGCTTTCCAGGTCTTCGTCACCAACGGTCGCTTGAACGGGGTCGTTCCCGCGAAGGGTGACTTAAATGCTCCAGCGTCAAGGAAAACTTCATCATGCTCGACATGTGAAATAGGCACGACGACGCAGAAGGCTCAAACACTGCCGAAGATACAGGAGCTCAGCCTGCTGGACACAGACAATCTAGCCGAGCCCGACAAGTCCAGCCAGACATTGACACCTGAACAGTCCTTGAAATCGAACGGGAACGACAGCAGCCAACAACCAGTGACCTCTGCTGAGATTTCTCCACCCACGCATCCCAACCATTCCATCAGCAGCAGTCAACAAAACATCATACCACCTCCCACGCAGTTCCAGAGCAGTCCACCCGTGTCCGAGAGTCCCCTAACATCGTCGTCCACCGACAGACCTAAGTCTCTAGTGGTGGCTTCTCAAGGCCCAGGCACCTTCGACATTCTGACTGGCTTGGACAGCGCCGACCTGAGATTCATGGACGAGAGCTCGGTGATACTGCCTAGTCCCTCCTGCGAGAGCCCACCGTCTTCCTTCTCGTGTAGCCTAGCCAATCCTCTCTCAACGACGCCTTCGTCGCCGATTTTAGGCCAAACTGCTTCGTCCTCGAATATCAATTTACTGCAGGCAGCGTTGATCAGAGCCACTGCTCAGCAGGCAAGCAGCCAAGGCATCCAAACCAAACAGGGTCAACTCGTACCTGTGATGTCCAATGCCTCGAGTCAAACTCATCCGCCTCGGGTGTTCATCACTCAGAAGACTAACGCCGCTTCTCAAACGTCTCCAACGGTTAGCAAGGTCCACACAGAGGTCACTGTCAAGGCGCAGAACACGAAGCAGCAGTCGGTGACGACGGTCGTCAGTGGACCAGCCGTGGAAGCAGTGAACATCGCGACGGAGCAATTCGCCGACCAGGTGACGAAGGTTGTCAATCCTCCTCAGAATTCTTCGTCAAGTGGCAGCGTGGTGCCCACGGCCTCAGCGACAACGGCAAACGAACACGACTCCAAGGTGGAGTCCAAGAAGAAGGATACGAGAGATAACAAGGAAAGCGGCTCCAGAAAGGACTTCGTCAAATCGATCGGGAAGCGTTTGAAGAGCAAAACGCAGAGAAGGAACCCTATGGTGGGTCGACAGAAATCACGGACGGAGAACAGAGCGAGGAAGGCGTTCAGAACGATATCCTTCATCTTGGGTGCTTTCGTCGCCTGCTGGACGCCTTATCACATCCTGGCGTTGGTGGAAGGGTTCTGCTCGAAACCACCGTGCACGAACGAGCATCTTTACATGTTTTCGTATTTTTTGTGCTACGCTAACAGTCCCATGAACCCCTTCTGTTATGCTTTAGCCAATCAACAGTTTAAGAAAACCTTCACGAGAATATTGAAAGGAGATTTGCACATGACGTGAACGAGACGGGACGCGAATAATTCGATGAGACACTTTTGGGGATGATTGTTACGACGAAGAAGGCCTTCCATAGTTGATATCGAATTGTAATCGTAACGCCATGTCTGTATGGTGGTAATTGGACAATAACAGTAGTAAACAGTTTGCGATACTAACGCAGAGAAGTTGAGTATTGCGCGCTTTATGTATATAGTAGTAGAATGCATTGATATAGGGTTTAGGATTGCATTCTCGGATGTATATAATGTATATGTATATGAATATTTATTAACTTCTGTGCGGGAATGCACGCAACGCATACAATCACGTACATTCTACAACAATACTATGAGACACTCCGATAAAATAATTCAAATTCATGTTGTAAGAAAGAATTTCTCTTTTCGTAATTATTATTTTTAAGAATTTCACACCTATTAGAGAAGAATTTTGATTCAAACTATGGTCTGGTGGGAACGTCTAAAAAGAGAGACTTCTTTGGAAATTAAAAATAGAAAAACTATAACTCGTACAACAATAAATTAACTTGTAGTTGACAATACATATCTTAAAAGGTAAGAAAAATGTTAAGTTGTAAAAAATAAAGGTGGCAGTTCACATTACTAGTGAATAATAAAAATAAACTCTATATATTAATTTTCTATCAAAATCATAACGTGTTTCATATTTCTAATTTTTATGCAACGCTGTTCGGAAGGCCATCTTCTGAAATAAACAATGACATTCTGTACGAGGGTAGGAAAATTCTTTCTCGTAACAAAGATTTGTGTAATTTGATGTAGCGTCTTACAGTATTGTTATGGAGTGTATGATTAACTTTAGACGACTATGCATAGGAATAACCGCCGCGGTAAGCGCTTCGTGTTATGACATTTCACGTGACGCGAAAATGTATTAAACTTCAAGTGTCTCTTGGAACGTGCACGCGCAAGTTTCGTAATTTAGCGAAAGATGTTATCGTTCGGGCTCGGAAGATAGAACATGATATATTTCAAGACATCGATAAATATCACGTCGTCGCAGCGAACACCACCGATTCGAAGGAGAGAAAAAAAGAAACCTTTGTCGTTAATTTGAAGCAGTATAGAATTTTTTCACACGAGGTTTTATTGTATGAATTTGTCTTTACGTTCGAAGAACAGGGATATATTTTTTAAGTGCAACGAACCAGATTTGGGGTGGGGGGGTGGGTTGCCTCGAAAAAGTACCAAACATTCAAGGATTCCATTATCCGTACACGCACTGCCTTTGGGGTGGCCTACTTACATGCAGGCCTTCTTCCTCCGAGTTCTGTTACATTTGGCTCTTTCCTAGCCTACAAGGCCCCACGGATTCCCAATGGACAATGTTATTTTCCAAATATTATACAGGATGATTTATCAACGCCCTAATAAATGCTTTAACGTGATTTTTCTTTTAGATCTCATTATACGGTGAAGTCTTTGAAATTTGTCTGCTTCAACCTGGAAAAATCAAATAAATAATCTTGGTAGACGGTAACGAACAATTCGCATCATTTTATGAGGATAAACGTTAATGTAACTTGAGAATCTTTAAAATTATATCTCTGTAAAGTTCCCGCAGCTGTTTAAATTTTGTTAAGTAATCTGAACCAGTTTTATCTACAACAGCCCCCTAAATAATCCAGGCAGCTTAATTTATTCCGTTTGAGGGACACATGTCTCAGTTCATGCTGCACTCCTTCCCAAAACGCTTGACGGCTGTGCGACGTTAGGTACACAGTATGGCATATAATGAAATGACTTGAACTTCTTGAAACATTTATGTGACCTACGTACGCACAGTTCTATTAATCTCAACGAAATGAAATCCAATTGATTTAAAATTATTATTAATAAAGTTATTCGATAATATCCGTAATATGTCTAATTGCAGGCATATTCAATTAATTTTTGAAAATTGTTTTAAGTATAAACTATTAATTTACAACAAAAGTTACGACTACATATGATGCTGAAGAGGGTAATTAGATAAATAAATTCTTGCAAGAATCTATTACCATATTAATATTAAATTGAAAATTGAATATTGAAAATTGAAATAAATTGAAAATTGAATACTAGGATCGATATAAATAGAAGATTATAAGTTATTATTACGAAACATGATTCATCATGAATGTAATTCCCAAAAATGATAGAAAAACTTGAAAAATAAAAATTTCTTGTGCCAAGGAAAAATTAAACAGAGACAATTGATAACGATCGAAGATTCTCCGTTAGTTTAAATAGGAAGGTTATTAAATCTTCATTTGCATATAATACAAGGCCTCTTATCACGGTGAAATTTAAGACAGTTGCATCATTCTTGCGTTTGCTAAAATTGTCTCACGATATAATTAACGTGGCATCCTGTATAAGTCAATTATCATAGATATTTCAATAGCGCATAAAAGAATAATCACGGGCATACTTTTCTTACAACGCATGATTCTCGTTATTGTTCTTCATTGCGTGCGCGTATTTAATCATTTTATTAATATTTCTTTCGCGAGAAAGCATTGAAACGCTACAATTTCGTACGTTTTCAAGAGTTTTCATAAGGTGAACCGTTACCTTTTCGACTGAGCATGCATTTTAAAAGAAAAAGACGTATTTTTAAAGGACACTAATCGAGAGACGCGAATCAATGTTGTGAAACTAGTTGTAAAGACAGAGTATAGCTTTGATACTTTTAATCGAGCTTTATGATACAATCATTAATCGATAAACGAAGCGAATCCAAAATTTTTTCGACCGCGATATCCGCGATGGGTCATGTATTTTTCAATAGGACGGTCTACAAAAAGAATTGTACGTCACGAAATGGAATTATGTCGCTAAGAAGACGAAATGGGGAAAAGACTAAAATACAGATTATGTAAAAATTATGTTAACACTCAGGAATGAATTTTCTATCTTTCTCAGATATAACGAGAGAAAGGTTACGATGGAAGAAAGCGGGCTGCAACAATAAATGATAAAAGGTATAATGATTTGTTAATTTAAGTGTTAAGATAATTTTCACACATCCTGCATAATAGCATAAATATACAAATGGATAATTCAGAAGCTCTTTGTCACTCGTTCGCAAAGATATGTTTTAAGTTTACTTTAATGGCAGTTTTTACTTAACGTTGTATTCATTAATGATCACATTTATATTTGACGTTGTTTAATCATTTTCAAACGTTTATACGTTTTTTACAGAGAAGTAAGTAAGCTATTACCTTGCATTGCGAACTTTCTATGCGAATTACTGGCAATCAATCTCTTCGCAAAAGTATAATTTTCGTATCGCTAATTATTAATATACGAAGGTACACTGCAGTTAATCATGAACCAATTGGAACGCTTCACAGCGGCTATTGTACTTATTAATTGTTAATATATCGTATATACTCGGTACGCGTGGTATTTCTAGTAAATTATTATTCAAATTAAATCTAAATTCAGTTGCAATTATTTGGAGGTTCTGTGTATTTTTCGAAATTCACTGCCAACGGTGATAGTCAACCTGTTCCTTTATCGCGTGGGCGAATGTTTATTTATCCACGCTAAGGCTGCCGTGAATCTTAATGAATTTCCGATTACTTCATCTATCCTACGCGGAAGGCTTTACTATGCAAACTGTATGCGATTAACGTAGTATTATGCGCGTGAAAAGTGAGCAGAACAACAGAGGAAGATGTGGAACAACTTAGAGAAATATTCAATTAGAAATTTGTACATACCGTGTACGATACTGGCAGGACAGCAGATTTGTAATATCTTCTTTTTCGAATTCAGATTCTCCAAAGCATGTTAACTCAGAATCGAAAAGGAAGATAGATAACACGAGTTTCCTTAAACGTAATCGTTTTCAGAACGTGAGTTTATTATGTATTACGTGTACACGAGTTCTTCTGAAGTCTTGGACCATTTCAAGGGAACCGCAATAATTCATCACCAACGTAATCTATTTCTCGTGAAAAAGACATTATTCATGGGTTTATAACTCTTTTAGTAGGCATGATTCTGTTCCACTAGCCTCCGTAATGTTGAGACAGTACGGATTTAAATATGTTGAGTAATCTATTTTTATGTTTAAACACAATTTTAGAGTAGATATTCATGGCTGAGTTTTGCTTAATATTTCTCATATGCATTATTTTAGATTTCTTTAGATGCCTTCACTGTGAGAGTACTTTCAAATTAAATAGATGATAGAAGATGAAAATTGAATACTACAATATTATTACAAATTTTATATCAAAATATTCTTTTGTAAAACGATGCTTTGAACTCCATAAAACAAAGCATGAGATAAACACAAATCACATCGAGGGATTTGTTTTACGTACAATATAATGAAATTAAACCAAACATTTAAAGACTCCGAAAATGTTCCACTATAAATGGTTTAAGACTTTAACGCGATATTGTAATTATCTGAAAGTTCGATATTCGCCTATATTATGTTAACGTATACGCGTTTGAACGATTCGATGCTCCAATCTTCAGGCTCTGCAACGTTACACACAATCGTTTGTGAGCTATAGTACGTAGCGAATGTACATGTGTGTAGCACAGATCGTTAGACAGCGAGGTACATAGCGATTAATCACGACAATGTTTAGAGAAATGTAGAATTAAAGTCGAACGAATAACAAAAAAAAAAAGCAAACTAAATAAGCATGAAACTTAGATGAGAATTAGATGGTCGATCGCGGAGAAGGTAAGTATCCGTGCGGTGTGCTTATTTCCAAGTGTCGAAGCTTTCGGTGTAGCGTTCGTCATTAACGCCTGCCAATGAAGCAGAGTCATTAAAGGCAGGAAAAAAGGTGGAACCGTAATGAGCTATAAAGGCTGAGATTTCGTCTCAATCAGCAAGGATCGAGGAGCAATTAAAATCTATGCTCCTCGGCGCAAGAATATCGCAATGCTCAACGCATGTCTAATCGTTAGGTTGGCTTGACGTCTCCCCACATGAATTCCAATCACTTTTTCTACCTCAAAGCTATGTACTGGGTGAATTTCGTAGCTGAAACTCGTTTTTTGTTTTGTAACTGGAGATAGGACCAAAATGGTGAATGTTAAATAAAAATCAATCACGTTGATTGACTTTCAAGCATTTATTTAAGTATTGAATGTTTTTGGCCAGAGAGGGAAGAAGATGGAGAGGGAGGTCTTCTTCAGAAGATATTCTTTATAACTATATGAATTTTCATTTGGAAGTAATTTAACAGCAGGAATGACATATAGAAAATATTCCGTTATATTTATGTATTATTTTTCATAATATATTATGAATTCAAAGATATTACCTTTAGCAATTAGTGACTTCATTTTTCTAAGTTAGAATATTCTCAGACTATTCGATATTCGCGAATAAGACTATTTTTGTTTTATATATTTGTTTTTCGACGTGCAAGTGTTTCCATATTATTAAATTCTACCATTGTGCTGTTTATAAAACACGTCTTCATTAAAAGAAAAAAAGAAAAACAATTTTAGTTCATGGGAAAATGACTTTTTTCTTCAATCAAATAGTCTTAAAATACACATCGTATAGAAAATAAATATCAATTTTGTTGTCAATCGAGTTTATTGAAAGTAACATTAAAAATAAATTCTATCCTCAATGAAGCATGAGTTTTCTTAGAAAATTTGGAATATCTTCTGAAGTATTCATCCTGGCAAGCTCTTGTCTCAATATTTTCCTAAACTGAGAATTCCAAGGAATCGATTTTTAGGAGAAAGAAAAGTATAGCTCCATTTAAAAAGAATATGCAAGTGCACTTTGCCGATGCAAAAAAGATGAAACAAGGTCGTGGAAAGTTAGACTACCCGACGGCATTCAACTTTTTCCTCCGACAGTTTCCCTATTTCTAACCAAAAAAGCGATATAACCTGGCCCAGTTGCGTGACTCGCCCTGTATTCGAAAGGAAACGCGAGGGGAATCCGTTTTCGATTCGCCTATGAAAGGAAGGTATTGCTCATTTATGCAACACGTATCCACGCATGGTTCATATTGTTCTCTGTACGACGATTTTGCCTAACTTCGAGATTCCATTATACTATTTTGATATACAAAAGAACGCGTTACACTTTATTCATTTTTTAAATTAAATATTCTCCATTGCAGGCAAGCAACAGACTTTTTATATTAACCCTTTGCACGATGAGGTCACAGTTTGATTTTTTATTATTTAATTTTTCTTTAATTTGGCTCCAACATTTTCTGGTTATTTTATTCCTGTTTTCTTTTCTGGTTCTGTCCTCAAATTTTAGCTTCTTCATGTTATCTATGTTTTATATTTTTGTTAAGAGTATCGTACTTTTAAATTGAACATTTTGACATCAGATATTCTTCCAGAACAACCTTTTGTTAAACCTAAAAATTAAATAACGTTTGGTCGAGAAGAAACTAAGGAAGTAATTGTAGTATAAAGAGTTAATAACTGTCTTTTGTATAATTTAAATAAATTGCTCGGTTTTTGCAAACACTATTACGCACGATAAATATAAGAGTACACCTTTGTAAGAGGTTCAAATCGTACATAAAATGTTAGACAGTTTCATGTATATAATAAAAAAAATGAAACGGACAAATGGTCATGGTCATGGTTAATTTAAAGAATATATCAAGGATAGAATACATATCTGTAATTGACGAAGCTCTCTTTCATAAAAATGTGTAATATTCCTGAAATTAATAAAGTTAATTTTCTTTTTGTACAGTTTGTTTTTTTTCAAATTGGAAATCGACTTGATGATGAATATAATTATTTCTACACTCCATCAATGAAATCAATTTTTCTAAATTAAAAACACAATCAATACAAGTAACGTTGCTATATTACGTTTTAATAATTGTTCATAAGATAACTGAAAAAGTACTATGAGTACTTTAAATCATATTGGTTATTATATAATTATTTTCTATCATACACGAGTAAGATAAGTGTTGTTTCACTATCAATTACAAATGTGTGCCGCTAACGATGTACGGAAATTACAAAAGTATCTATTTTTCTTTAATGCCGATATACTAAGAGAC